AGTTTGATTATGAAAACATATCGGGTGGAAATAACGCTGCCTGGCACAATAGATCCTTCATGTAAAATCAACACTCCGTTGCTTTGCACGCGGCCTTTTTGTCATGTTTCTGATGCATTATAGTTTCTCTAAGTATAATCAGGACAATGCAATTGTAGTAATTCGGATGCGAATGTTGGCCAAAGTATGATGTGCGTTTGAGAAAAGATTAGACTCTCATTAATTGCGTTTTGCAAAGTTTGTCGTTTAGGGTAGCGAGAGCACTTTTGTTTCATGCGTGGATGTGTGAGCGGTGTGCGGTGGGAGGGGGGGGGGAGAAAGAGAGAGAGAGAGAAAGAGAAAGGGAGAGAGAAATATAAAAGACGTAGTTTGTTACATAATTATGTACAATTTGAAGTGAAATATGCGAAATGGGATCGTTGCGAAACATAATTATGACTTATCTCTGGGTGCAGGGAGATGCCATCTCCCTGATTGGTGTCCATAAAGGGTCGCACAGCCAGTACAATGTTATCTTCGGGTAGCCATAAATGCAGGATTCGCAGCCATATCTCCTGGCACACAGACGCCATAAATGGCCTTGGGAAAACAAATAGACGACTCGATTTTTAAGTACAGATATATACATCTCTAGTCTATCGTCTTCCGAATGTGATTTGTCAAGGTGCTTGAAACAAGTCGGTCCCCTAAGGCGATCTGACAGTAATGTTACTATGCTTTTCCGGTGTGTCCTCATGTTACTATGCTTTTCCGGTATGTCCTCATGTTCAGGTCTGTTTAAAGAGTAACCCTATATAGGACATCGCTTCCATAGCATCACCGAACGTTGCCCCTTTTTATATTTCTGGTTGACTCCAGGAGCGGTTCAAGAAGTTTTTTTAATTTTTTATTCATCCCCCCCCCGCCACCCCCCCCCCCCCCAAAAAAAAAAGAAAAAAAAGAAGATCACTAGGCTTGTGTAGAAAATGAATGCAAGATCCCCAAGCCCCCTAAAAAAAAAGTCCCCTAGAGAGGCTCCGGGGCAACTCCCTATGTATGTTACAAACATTTTTCATCTCTCTTGCTCTCCGTCTCTTTCCATCTCTTCTTCATCACCATATCCCTATACCCCCTCTCTCACCCTCACCCTCTTTCTCACGCTCTCTCTCTCACTCTCTCTCTCCCCCCCCCCCCCCGGCCATTGCACCCATGTCTTCTGTCTTTCTCTCTCATGACCGTGTGTGTGTATGGGTGTGTGTGTGATTGTGTGTAACTGTCTCTATCTCGAGTCTTCATGTTTTAATATCAGCTTTAATTTTCCTCCCATCATTGCACCTCTATATTCTTATTTCCTATTTATCTTCATATACTTATCTCCCCTTCTTTATCTCTAAGTTACTGCAGTGGCGTAGCGGAAAACCATCTCATAAAGGGGCATAGGTGTCATGGGAGGGGCACTTGGAATATTAGGGGTGTGATCGGGTGCCCCACAGCTACATCATGTACAATCGCATGCTTCCCCCCGCTTATTCATGTTTTACCTCACTGTTTATGTATTTTCTGTTAAAAAAACTCCACCCCTTTTTACAGTATTTACCCCTTTCCCAGACAAATCTTTATCTCTTATCGCTTTTCACAATTTTTTGGGCACTTCTAACCTCCCTTCGTTAGTGGACACATGAACATATTTGGATCTTATCCAAGTAGACTCTCATTATCTGTATCTTATCTACCTTTGCCTCTCGATGTGTCAGCTTCATTCGTCTCTCATGTTTGCACCACTTCAACTAATCGATACGGAGTATAACTCCCCTTGTCACAAACTTAACGTGACAAGATAACATTATATTAAGGTCACGTCAAGTCAACTATGTTTCGCTGTCAGCACAATCTTAAGGTACGAAAAGAACTACAAACCCTAGAAACTAGTTTCGTTGTTGTTGTTGTTGTTATCATCGTTGCTCATGTCATTGTTATTACTGCTGCTGTTGTTGTTGTTGTTGTTGTTGCTGTGAGGTGATAAGTGGAATCATTTTTTTTTCAATTCTACGGACTTTCTTTAGAGATAACACAACAACAACAAACATACAGACAAACAATAACAAATTAAAAAAACTAGAGTTGATGTCCGAATCGGAAATTGCATACATCCCGCGTATTTTGAACCTCATTATTGAAGACAAATGTCATTAATAATTTAATCATTGTCTCGTGAGTCATGGATTTTATAAACTTACGAAAACCATGATTACCTGTCATAATCACCTCTATTCTCTATCGATTGAACTTTGAACTAATTGTATCTATTTACTTGCATAATAATGATGATTTTACACGTATAGGGAAGGTATTATAGCAGTAGTTAATTATCAACTTGTCATCATCATGATAACTTAATTAATAGAAAACTTGTTCCTTTATCGATGCACAGGTTATTCCCTCTTTGCTTGTTTTATTACACGAAGAGAAAAGAGAAGTATATTGTCGTTGTATCTCGGCCATCAGCTGGAGACATTTTAGTCATTTTAGGCAATTTATGTGATTTCAAGTTAAACCGTACTCTCGTCAAAACTGGGTAACAAAGCGTTTGTATTATTGTGTAAAGTAAAATGGAAAATTAAGAGGGGGAGGTTGGCAAAAATACTTTGAAAATATTGGGTGAAATTGGCCATCCTGAGGTTAATCTGTTAATTAAGTATCCTTGCTACATTTAGCCAATGTTATGCTCATTTTGGATAATGTATTCTCCAATCGCATCACCATTTGTATTGAGCAAAGAAATGAGCAAAAAATTGGTTGGATAGATAATTACCTCAATTTTGGGCCATATTAACCCAATATGTATAACTTTAAATTTATCTATATACATATATATACAAGCAAATATGATACAAATGAAAAGTCTGTAAATAACTTCTACATTCATTATTCAAATCACGATTTATGACGGATGAGGGTAAACTTTAGGTTTACATCATGGCCCTGTTTTTGTCCCACCATTTCGGACTTTGCTCGGACGAAGTCAGGTGCTTCAATAAGATGGACTACTAAAGCAAATATTGACTTTAGATGAGGATTTTGCAGAATAAGACCCATTTGTAAAGAATATTATCCGAAATAACATAGAGAGGACGTGTGTTTAGTTGCATCACATGCTGGAAGATTAAAAAAGGTCGTCCTAGATTCTTTCATGTCCAGGGAGAGCGAAAAAAGACACTCTGGGCTTAAAGAGCAATCCATGGCGAAAAACGGAATAGAACAACCCACCCCACCCCCCCCCCAAAAAAAAAAGGAAGAAGAAGAACAAGAAGACAGAAAAAAGATAACAATACAAAGAGTATACTGTTTCCTATTACCTGACCGCTTCTTTGGATGAAGGTTGTATCTCATTAGCTTCACAGAGCTAAAGCGTAATTATATACGAATCCTGTGATCCTAATTTCTTGTTTAATGGTGATTCCTTTTTTTTTTATTAGAATTTGCGTTAGCTTGAAATCTACTGTTTTATGTAAACAAAAAAATACTAACTTCCTTCTTCGAATAATAATTGATAGAGCATGAAAGCGTAGCTAAATTTTCAGAAGGGCAGAAGAGGGAGGGGCAAAAAAGAAAGGCGTCATGTGCCCACGAATTAAACAAGAATATTAGCCGTAAATTTTGCAGCAACCTTTTGAATGGTACAATCTAAATATTTGAATATTCTTCTGGATCAACACATCCTACAGTACTTCGACTACGCTATTGAGTTCACGTGTGCGATCTGAGAGTCACGTTATTGCTATATGTAAATCTCAAAGTACACAGTACTCTGGTCAAGTGAATGATTATTGCAGAATATGAAAAGCTAAGCTTACAAACGTATGTATTCCTGGTCAAAATGTTGTTTTCTTAAGAGTAAAGTAGAAGACTGTAAGGGGATCGAGTTCGTTTATCTTCCCCTGGCGACTGACCCGGTATTTGAACTCAAGTCAAGGGTTTCAGACAAGTCCAAGACATACGATAGCTAGTCTGTCTCTAAGGCTGAGAGAGATGTGCTCCTCTCATGGACAAAGTGTTCGGCTAAGTCTAGAGTCTAGACTAATCACAACCACCACTTTCACAGTCATTGTAGATGGATAATTTTGATTGGTTTTCACACTTGAGACTCATTAAATCGAATGAATTTCATTAAAGGTAGTGTATTCCTTTTGCAGCCAACATCACATTCTGTAGAACTTTGCAGGAATTATAAATATGTATGTCATCATTTTTTTTATCTGTGAAATGTAAGCACGTGCTAGCAGTGTCCTAGTATTCAAATTGTGCAAAGAAACCCGTTTACTTTCTGGACTTTACTGTCAGACACTGTTGAGCTGTAGAGGGTACATGAGCATTTGTCTACTTCAATAACTCAATACTTGTAATGGCCGAAATTCCACTGATTGAATCTTTGCTAAGCTCAAAACGTACGACCATTCAGTACAAGGTTCTGAAAATCAGACTATTATTAAACAAACGCGATCGCTTAATTCGATTCAACAACACTAACGGTCATTATTTCCCCCAAAAAGACATCTTTAAGCCCTTTTGTTTTGAGGGAAGTTCTAAAACAGTGTTATCTTTCAAATGCCGTTGGAATTTAGCCTTTTCATTTATTTTTCTTTTTGGCCTGCAAATGGGACATAGTACCTTAAACCAATTTGTGTGTGGACACGAGGCTAGTATTGAGTATCTTCGAAAATTTATTTCGACGTTATTAAATATTAAAAACGTAATGGCAATCGCTGTAAGAACTGGTCCACTAACACCACCACCGACAAAATCGGGGTAGTTTACCTTTAATGTATTCTTATCACTTTGGAGTTCGCAGATTATGAATTTAAACCAAAAATCACTTATTGGACGCTACAAAGTAATATTTAGTATGTACGGGTCATGCAAGTCTCTATCTGTCATGTCAGTTTTATCACCTGTGCTATGATTTTCAATATTATTTTATATCATTCATTTTTTAAATTTTTATCTCTGTCCCTCCGATATAGCTGGTTCAGCAACACAACCCACGGAAAATAGCATGACGGTCGACGGAAAGTTCGAGATCGACGAAGAAGGAGGCCACAAAAAGTCGAGCGGGTACTACTGCACGACTGGCCAACTTGTCTTCCTCGCCATCATCGGCGCTGGCCTGGTCGCCGGTGTCGGATGCATGTCCTACTACCTGCCCGACCGCGCCTGCGAGCTACCGCCCACAGAACCGGGGAGGATAACGGAGCCGCAGGTACAGCCCACGGAACCGGGCGTGACGGAGAAGCCTGTGACGGAACCACCAGTGACGGAGCCGAGCGTCAAGACGCATATGATGTCACCTACGCCGACCGCCGGGGAGTGGGACGGCCGTCTTCCGCGTGACGTCATACCAGAAAACTACCAACTATACCTCAAACCCTACCTGTATGAAGAGGTAACGAAAACAATTAATTTATCATTGATGCAATGTATGATTTATGAACAAACTTAAGAAAGGAGTGACTTTTCAAACACAGGTACACTGATGTGAGGGGAGGGGGGGGGGGTGCACGTTCTTGGAGTAATTTTCAAGGGGAATAATGGAGCATTTGAAAAAAATGGTTTAAAAAATTGAGAAAAGAATGAGATAAAGCTACACAACACCATAATGGGCTTAGTTTAGAAGTGTTCTAGAATGCAAGTTTCGGCACCCCAAAGGGATTTTGTTTCTTATGAGCTGTAATAGTTTTAACAGCGGTTTTCGAATCCATCTTCCTGCTTTTGAAAATCCAGGACCTTCGGCCAAATACGGACGACCGGGTATTCACTTTTGACGGCAAAGTCAAGATCGTGATGGATTGTAAAATGGAGACCGACGTCATCACCCTCCACATCAACAACATCACCATCCGATCAAACACACTCGAGTCCAAGGACGGCGAAATGATCGAAATCACAGACGTTACCTACACACCGGAGTACGAATTCGTCCATTTCCACGTCGGTAAGATGCTGGAGGCGGGAACGGGCTACGTGCTGGAGATCGAGTACCTTGGTGAACTGTGGGACGGCCTCGCAGGATTCTACCGCAGTAGTTACCAGGAAGGAGGCGTGACCAGGTTAGTCTGCCTTTAAATTTGTTGTATTGCAATCACAGTGGCGTAGCGAGGGAGGGGGGGGGGGAGGCGGCACGGATATGTATTAATTTGGTTGATGGAATGCCAATGAACAAACAAGAGTAAAAGGATGGTGTGTAGGGGGTCCTCTGCCCCTTGACGTTGCCATTCCCGCCTTTGCCTCATTTTTCTCTCTCTCTCTCTCTCTCTCTCTCTCTCTTTCTCTCTCTCTCCCTCTCTCGGGGGGGGGGGGGTACCTCATGACATGTGGCCCCCTGTAGTTACACCACTGTTTGAACAATATATTAACCGATAACCCCGTTTCAATTGCGGAACATTTGCCGCAAATTTAGACCATTTTGGGCATGACAACGCAAGGCTAAGAAGAATATCGTCGAGTAATACTGGAACAACCTCCAAAATCACGTCGACACTGCTTGATATTTTGGCATGACTAAGGGCGCGTTCATGCTTGATTTTGACGGCCAGAATCAGGCATCTGTTACGCGTTTAGTTTAAAACACGATTGCGTTCATGCTCACTTTTGTAGAATCACCGAAAAACGGCGATCACGATCGCCGATCGTAAACTCACAAAAAGATGCGTTTACAATTTGTAAACGCATTTAAATGGGGTCAACGCACTGACCTCTAGTGGGTCTACGTAGCATGCGCACACAGGTTTGCGAATCCAGCTGAAGGCCACCCAAGGAGAATTGCCTGGAGAAGAGAGCATGAACAGTGCACCGTGGAACTGCGATTACGATGAGCGTTTACGATGAGCGTTACAAATCGCTCATTCTGCCTTCAAAATCAAGCATGAACGCGCCCTAAGCAGCGATATGGCTATCAATAATACAGTCAACATGTCAAATGTAGTTTTAGGCGATTTGTTACGTAGTGAACATATTTTGATTGAACTCGTTCAACACACAGTACCGTTACGTTTGTTTTGGATGAAAAAATAAGATCCCCGGATTTATGCGCGTTTGTAATCGTCACATTCAAGATACAGACAATAATGTTTGCTGGAATATTACACTACTTAATCTTCGGTGGTTTACTTTATTTACTTTCTAGTTAGAAATTGACAATATTTTTAAAAATAGATTTTAACCCTGGTTCGTTACATATATCCTTTTAGAGAATATACCAAATCGTCTTCTTGAACCGTATATAGTTCACGGACGCATTGATAAAGTTGTTCATTTTATCATTGATCAAACACTTGGGCAATACTAAGGGCGTAAATACACAGATAAGATTTAATACCTTCGCACTGATAATAGAACTCGGAATAAAGGTTACTTGACCACAGGCCATAAACCTATTTGTCAGTTTTACAGTTTGAATGGATCCTTAGGAATTCCCAAAGGTGGATTCAGAATTATCTGACCGAGGGGGGGGGGGGGGGGGGGGGGGGTGGGGGGGGGGGGGGGGGCAAGGGGGAAGGGGGAGACAAGTCCGAACAATCTTTGATTAATGTTCTGACAATTTCAGATGCTTTTAGGGGCTTGAATTGCCTCGAGGGTCACAATAGGGGGCATATTAATTTTCTTGTGTAGTTCAATCTGTACTTAAAGGTACTATGTCCCATTTGCAGGCCAAAAAATAAAAAGGTTAAATTCCAACGGCTTTTGAAAGATAATACTAATTTAGAACTTCCCTAAAAAGGGTGGGGCTTGAAAATGTCTTCAAGTGGGAAAATTAACGACTATTAGTTGTCAAATCGACTTAGGAGCTATAGAGCCAATAAGTAATAGTCTTGATTTTCAGACCACTGTACCGAATGGCCATACGTTTTATGCTGCGCAAAGATTCAATCGGTTTAATTTTGGCTATCACAAGAAGTAGGTTATTGAGGTAGACAAATGCTCATGTACCCTTTACAGCTCATTTTATGTATGTTATTACCAGGGACTTGGGATTACCAAAGAAGAAAAATGCCAGTCAGTCACTCAATAGTGTCTGACAGTGAAGGCTAGCAAGTAAACGGGTTTCCTTGCATAATTTGAATATTAGGACACTGCTAACGTTTAAATTTCACAGATTGGACATACATGACATATTGATAATTCCTGCAAAGTTCTAAAGAATTTTCGGTTGGCTGCAAAAGGGACATAGTACCTTTAAGGTGTGTTGAATGCAAGATTTACTTTCCCGGGGATAGGGAGGGGAGGGGTATGAGAATGGCGAAGGGGGCCCCTGGATCCGCCACTGTTTTCAATAGATCAATTTACAAAGAATAGTTTGTCGTTGATTATCAATGTCAGGGAGCACGTTACTTTCTACTCTTCTAAGTATACTATCATGATGCTTCATTTCTTCCATCTGTCTCTCTATTTCTCTGCCCCTCTGCCCCTCTGCCCAACCCCTTCTTACCCTATCACTCTGTAACTCATCTCACCCTCTCTTCCCTCTCCCTCCCATCGCTTTATATCTTCTTCGACACCATCGACGCCCATGCCAGATGGCTCGCCACCAGCCAGATGCAGCCCACCGACGCGCGCCGCGCCCTGCCGTGCTTCGACGAGCCCGACCTCCGGGCCATCTTCTACACGGAGATCGAGCACCGCGATGACATGGTCGCCCTCTCCAATGGTATCGAGGAAGGCGAGAGGACGGGCAACAACGCTGGATGGATGATCACCACCTATAGGGCAACGCCCAAGATGTCGACATACCTCCTTGCTTTCGTCGTCGGCTACTTCGACAAAACGGAAATGTACACCGAAAATGGCGTTCGTGTAAGTTCAATTAATTTCAAATAACATTTTATTTTCTTCTAATGTGTCCATTTTAACAAAACACACAAATAACATAATGAATGCATCATTACATAATCATTTTAAAGAGCATATTAACACAGGGGAAAAGGCGTAAAACCCATACATAGGCTTGTGTTGGATTCACGTTTCTTAAGAAAGTAAGAAAATACAAAAATAAGAGAAGCATAGTTGAAGAAAGGTAAAGAAATTTAAAAGTTGGAAACCTACTGCAATGAATTACACGATAGCTACGTATTTAATGCGTATAACTGAGCGAGATTACCGAGTTGTGTACATCACGACTGTTGTCTTTTCATGAAGTTCAGTGCATGGGATCTCTATAATCATAAAGCACAATTAGTTCGTTGTATAAATGGAGATATTATTAATGTAACCATGTCTTGTTTTACTACTTTGTCAAAAAATGTGTTTGTACGGATTGATTACGTTGCTTTGTTCAAGAATGAAATTTCATTGAAAAATTAAAGTTTATCAAGAAAAGCAACACATTTAGATCCTTTAATGACCCACTCCAAAAAACGTTGTCGTCAAACCATGGAACCTTTTCCACCCAACATGACGGCAATATTTTAGTCCGACCAACATTTATGTGCAATCAAGTATAATTTTGGGCTAAGTGAAACGTATTCATCCGATAGGTAAAAGAAAATACCAAACTATTAACAGGCAAAAGTTTGTCCAGGCCAAAGATTTGTCCGGCATGTTGGTACCAGTGTCTGTTTAATATCTATCTTTGATCACACGTAAAGTTCTAATGCAGTTACTACAAGCATAGCTGAAGTGGCATCGTTTCACAAAACCGTCGTAAGTTCAAGTTATACCGACATTCCTTTCAGATGCGTGTTACAAATAATACACGCGTTTGAACGGGTTGTCGGCGAACTTGTTCTTATGACGGTTTCGTGAAACGCTGCAATGGGGTTTTGATTCTTGGCGAGTAACATTTTCATTTCAAGTGCGACTATATTTCGCATACGATACTCGCTGTCAAGATGCAGTCTTGTTCAGTAATTTTTTTAAAAGAAGTATATCGGAGAGGATATAGTTGATTTTGATTATGTTTTTTGTTTTTGTTTTATCCTTTTTCCTTTAGTTCCGAGTATGGTCAAGACCAGAGGCAGTGGAATCGACCAGATATGCTTTGGATATCGGAGCTAATATCACCACATATTTTGAAGAATATTTCGACACACCTTTCCCTCTTTCAAAGCAAGGTATGAAGAGCTCTTAATTTAAGCCATATTGTACTAGAAGCATTATCGCAAAATCCTTTCTAGCGCCATCTCAGGTCAGCTGTAGCAGTATGGACTCTTATTTTCAGTTCTGTGATTGGTTTTCGCATCGAGTCCTCTGGGCAAGTGGATATTAGGCATTGGATTCACAGAACTGTTAAGTATTTTACAGTTCTGTGATTGGGTTACATGTAGTAGGCAAGTTGACCATGAGATGGCGCTGTACCATAAACAGTACGCTATATAGGACACAGAAAGTTAATGAGTTCAGTATTCAATATTGCGATTCACCTTTCCTTCTCTCAAAAGAATGTATGATGATCACAATAATTGATCTCTTGTTTTACAAGTAGGATACTTATCACAACACATCATTATATTAATCTTTTTGTTATGTTTTTGTATCTGGTAAGTATAGTAAGGAGGGGGAGAATTGAGGAGGAGGTAGAGAAGAAGAAAAAAGAAGAAAAAAAGAAAAGAAAAATAGGAAAATAAAAATAACAATGATAACAATGATGATGATAATAAGGAGAAGAAGAGAAATAAGAAAATAATTATGAGAAGAAATAGTAGTAGTAGAAGTAGGAGTAGTAGTAGTAGTAGTAGTAGTAGTAGCAGTAGCAGTAGTAGAATGTGTACGTAGCACCAACAGGACCACCACAACCACTTACTCTATATAGTGACATAACGCAATTAAGAACTACAAATAAATCAATGATAATGCACACAGTCAGCTCCTTCCCTGAACATCTCTTCCTGTCTCCCATCCTCTATATCTCTACTTCTTCCTTCAGATATGATTGCCGTGCCTGACTTTTCAGCAGGAGCTATGGAGAACTGGGGTCTCATCATATACCGTGAAACCGCTCTTCTCTACGATAGCAGGGTCAACTCTGCTAGCAACAAGCAACGTGTTGCCGTTGTGGTATCCCACGAACTCGCGCATCAGGTAACATACAATGGTCCTTACATCGTTTTAAGAATTTTTATTTAATAGAGGTGTTGTTGTCTCGTGGATACGTCTCCGGACATTGTGGATCACATGATTCGCGGTTCGAGTCTCGCCTCAGCACTAATACCCGTTGTCAAGACATTTATCTCAAATTTCTATCTCCACCCAGGTTTTAATGAAGTAAACAGGTACCTGGAAGGAATGTATTTCTTGAGAACCATGAGCACCTTTAGGCAGCTGGGCTAAGGCCAGGGTCAAAATAATACTTTGTTGGCACCTAGCTTGCGCATCTCATTCAATGGATATGAGGGCAAGTCATTAGTCCGATCGTGTTAAACTATATTGTTGTCGGCATTAACAAAGTGAACACTTGGGTACAAGGACCTATAGCAAAACAAAGTTATAAAAACAATTTCAAGCAGCAACAACAACAGCAACAACCACAACAACAACAACTACATGAACAATTAATCCAGAACAACAAGAACCAGTTTCCAGTGGGACGTGTTCATCGGTTTTTTTTTCATGGTTATAATCCAAATGCCTGAATTAAGAAAAGAGATTCAAATATGAAAGTAAGATTTTTGTAGCTTACGAATAGTATTCAGCCGGCGTAATTCCCTTGCCTATTTCAAACTCTGTAAACTAATCACTTCTACACGTGCAATTCTTGAACCTAAATACTACTTGATGATGATAATGATGATTCACAACATTTGTATGGCGCTATATATCTGTTTCAAAAAACATTCAAAGGCGCAGTGATATTTCAGTAACATTACACACCCATCATGACGTCACGTTTTACCTCCTCTTTTCCCTCTCATTTAGTGGTTTGGTAATCTTGTCACACCAGTATGGTGGGACGATCTTTGGCTCAACGAAGGATTCGCAAGCTACGTCGAATACCTCGGCGTCGACTACACCGAACCGGATTGGGGAATGGTGAGTGAGCATATAACCCCCTCCCCAAACCCTTATCCTGAGTATCCTGAGTAACCTCCGACATGTGACCACCCCATCTCAACATTATCAGATGATAGTTCTCCCTCTCTTTACGAATAACCTCATATTCAGTCAGCGAGGTACTCGAGTTAAGTCATATTCGGGCAGCGACGTTTTTTTGTTTTTGTTTTAAAAGTTTAAAAGTTTTTAAAAGTAAAAAAAAAGCAGTAAATACGGTATGTTTTGGTTATGTTGTGGATAAAATAAAGACAATCTTAAGTTTGTATCTGTGCACCTGTCTATCATAATGTACTTGTTTACTTCACTATAAAACAGAGGGAACAATTCGTTGTTGAAGATCTACAGAGTGTGTTCGAGCCTGATTCCCTGGGTACGTCACATCCGGTCCGAGTGCCTGTCAATTCCCCGGATGAAATAAACGAGATCTTTGATTCTATTTCATACAGCAAGGTAAATGGGCAAAATAGTATTTAATTTGTAAGCGATCATAACATGATTAATACAGTATTAAAGGGCTGAGTACGATGTAGTCACTATAGTATAATGATTCATGTACTGGATTCTCAATCAAGAAGTTCGGGGTTCGAATCCACTCCGGCGCTTCTGTCCTACAATGGACTCTATTAACCTAGGTGTATCGAAATCTGGAATCTTGTAATAAGCGCCGTCCATTATGAAAGATGTGCTGAGGCTAGCTGATACTAGCTGATACTGAACACATTTTCAGCTTGAATAATAAGTATCCCAATTTATTTCCCTCCATCCAGGGAGCTTCGATTATCCGTATGTTGAACAATTTCCTTGGTGAAGAGGTGTTTGTTGAGGGTATGAGCTACTTCCTGAACAGCCACAAGGAGGGTAATGCTGACTCTGACGATCTTTGGTTTGCTCTCAAAGAGGTAATTATCAATTCATTATTTATATATTCGATGAATGTATATATATATATATATATATCCATGTATCTATCAATATATCTACCCATCTATCTAACTATTATCATCATCATTTATTTAAGCCAGCATTTTCCCTAATACGAGGAGGTATGGGCTTTCGCGCCATGATGACACTCTCTCCTCGGTGCAGAGTCTCGTTTATGCCACTTTCAATATTGTCTCTCACGAAGTGTGAGGATGCGTGATAGCTCGTTGATAGAGCAGGGGTTAAGGTGTGGTCTCTTGAAGTAACACGAAGTTCCCGCTTTCGAAACCAAGTCGATGCTAGGCAAATACCCACAATTACCAAGTCCCTCGGATAGGACTTAAAGCTGTAGGTCCCATTGGTTACTTATCTTCTGAGCACGAATTTGTTTTCTTCGCAGTCAGGTAAAATAATTCATTAATATCAATGAAATAAGTTGAGATTAAGATTTTTTCCCCCTCTCGTTCCTAGGCAGATGATGGCAAGGGTAACAATGACGTCAAGGCCATTATGGACACGTGGACCTTGCAGATGGGTTATCCGGTGGTCGATCTCCACCGCTACGGCGATAACCAACTCAATGCTTCTCAGGAACATTTCCTCGTCAACCCCGAGGCCGGAGTCGATGACAAATATGGCGACCTTGGGTACGTGGTGAACAGACATGTAGCTTAATGCTCACAAGGGGGGGGGGGGCTTTAAATTCTGAAGAGGAGAGCGTTGTCTGACCAAAATTCCCGGCTTGGAAGCCCCAAATTTGCCAATAAGTAATAACAACAAAAGCGGAAAATAGAAAGAAGAAAAAAAAAATTATAAGGAAAAAGAAAGAGCGAAAGAAAAGCAAATTTTTAATTTGCACCAATTCATGAAATATTAAATATACCATGTTGAAGAGCTTGTTTAACAGTAGTTTATTCTGGAATGGGTTTTTCTTCTACACACTCGATATTTCAAGCAAATTGATTTTTTTTTTTAATATTTGGAAAATATAATTCAGAAATGGCAGGACGGGGGTTATGTTACATAGATGTTTGTGCTAAGGCATACTTATGGTCTGCATTCTGCATGTGCAGTAGCAGTTATAATTTGCTGACACTGGACTTGGTGGAAATACCATTATGGTTGTACGTATATCAGGCCATTGCTGGTGATTAATATCATCCAATATCAAGGTAGATACCCGAATGGTGTCAAATTCTTGTAGCTTTGAAACTAACTTGAACGAATGTGATTTGGAGAAACAGACCTCAATAATTCCGTTGTTACGACAGAGCAAGGAGCTTAGACTCCTTGGACGGAATAAGTTTCCATCTAAAGTGATAATATTGCGTTTTAGTTATAATATTTGTTATACTTTCCTTTATTTCAGATACTTGTGGTATGTATACCTCACCTACACACAAGCGACAAACCCTGATTTCACCACTCCTCATTCTATGTGGATCGAGAAAGAACCATGGGGTAAAAAATCTTCTCAACTTTGATAAAAACTAATCTTGATTTATGGTAATGTAATATCATTTCCAGAGAAATTGGTTTAACATTTCTTTATCTTTTATCTTTTGAAGAAGATTCTAGAGCAAAAAGTAATGTAAATGAGAGTAAAGAAATTGTGTTGGAAGTCATGTTCAATGAATAGAATAGCACAACTCTTTTTAAATTTTAACATAGAGCACCATCCGTGTTGTTTATTACTCACTTGGCCTTACGCGTTTAGGAAGTAATCATGGTACATGTAGTAGATATAATCGATGCTTTTCGAGCAAATTACTGCTATTAATATGTTTTTTTTAAACGAGAATAAGAAGAACAAAAGCACTCATATAAACGAAGTGATAGAGGACTGTAAATTCGTGTTACCTGGGACCCGTTTCACAAAGCCTTTTTTTCAATGTCAAATGACAAAAATCAGTGACAAATCTGTTGATAACCAATCAGAAGCAAGGATTTCAGTAGCTTATAACAACAACTGTCATTTGTCACTGACGACAAGTTTCGTGAAACGCCCCCAGACCTCTGCTTTGGAATACAATCCTATTTTATTTAAATCAATCACCCACGGTATTTAATCTTGAAGTCCCTATACGGCCGCGCAGGCGCGTACGCAGGATTTTTTTCAAGGGGGGGGGGGTTAACATTTATAAATCGGGCCGAAAATTTCGCAACGACTCAGCCAGCCGCTGAATAAGCGGGGGGGGGGGGGGGTGGTTTACACACAGAAAAATACCAAAAGGGGGGTTTAACCCCCCCCCCCCTGTGTACGCGCCTGCGGCCGCGTCTTCGAAGCATTTTGAGTGAGCTATGATTACTATATAATTATGCACTTAACATCTTCTGTGTTTCCTGCTAGTTTTCATTTCTTAAGAAAACAATAAAAGTAGTATTAATACGCTTTAAATATCAACGATTATATCATCGTTATTTACTGAAAGAATCTCTCGTCAATTGTTTTACTTTCTGCAGCGCTCGTCAACCTCTCTTCCAGCATGGGAGCGGATGATTGGTACTTGGCTAACATCCAGCAATTCGGTTTCTTCCGAGTGAATTATGATGATGAAAACTGGGCCCGTCTTAGCCAACAGTTGGTACAGCAACATGAGGTAAGCCAAGATGCGCTAATTGTTTTCGTGATCCCCGTCGCGAACGAGGCGTCATTATGATTGCCTTATTGCTTTAGCTAATCATGTTTTAATCAACTCTATCATGAAGGCCTTAATTGAGCCCACTTTCGGTAAGTCAACGCTCTCTTTGCACTGTAAATTCACCTGTCATACGACGTCACTCCCAAAGAATGCATCAGTTATTGACGCAATGGTCTTACGTCACCAGATTGACGCTTGGTGTGCTACGGGCCTTACACAAAATCCTTTGTAGACGCTACCCTGTGGATAGGTCATTCAGCCATCCATCCATCCATTCTGTGTTACCAAAAATTGATACAAAAAATCACCCCAAAATACATTGAATTGTTGCATATGCATTCGGTACATGGAGCAAACAAATCTTGCAAATACCGAAAGCTAGCCAGTAGTGAAGAAAATATTCAACCATTTAATTGCTTTTCTATTTTGATGCAGGTGTTCCCGAACGAGAACCGTGCCCAGCTCATCAATGATGCCTTCAGTTTGGCTAGAGTGGGGCGTGTGGACTACCCCATTGCTCTTAATCTTACCCTCTACATGGACAAAGAAAATGATTATATTCCATGGGAAGCAGCTCTCGGGGTTATCTCCTACATCACAGATATGTTCAGCAGGTACTCCGGTTATGGACCACTAGAGGTAATCAAGATGAAAAAGAATCCTCAATATTTGTTTTCCTTTAAAATATAACCCTTTTAGGGAACTTTATTTCACATATCTACAACGTTCACAATAATATATATATTCATATAAAATTAATTTTGTAAGAATATATATATTATTGTGAACGTTGTAGATATGTGAAAAAAGTGCTTTTTGTTTGTTTTAGAATTTAAATGTGACATCAATTCATATTTCAAATCGTTTAAAAGAGTTCCAATATTCATTTTGCTTTTTGTTTTCAAACGTTTAATAAGTTCTTAAAGTAACATGTTACAAGTAACAAGTAACATGTTACAAGTAACAAGTAACACAGTTTATCAAAATGTTAACCAAGTCATTATCTAACTTGCCTATGTTATATCCAACTACTTAAAGTATTCTCATCTAATAAAAAAAAGTTATATTAAACGTGTTACAATAATTTCCAAAACACAATCAGTAATAATCTTCTATCGTTCCTTCTTTTGCTAGAGATACATGCGAAAACAAATTGATACATTGTACAACAATCTAGGATGGATGGATGACCCAGTAAATGACGCACATCTTACGCAGTAAGTATCCAATAACATAAGATAAACGATTATAATGCGAATTGGCTCAGACAAAATAGCTAGCGTCTCCCTGTAAAACCAAAGATTGAGGGTTCGAATGAAGAGTGCATTAGGTGCTATCGTGTCCCATCCCTGTCTCATAGACGCAGGCTAGGATACAGTGAAAAACATTCCGTCCCTTGGATAGGACGTCCAATGAAGGCCCGTGTAGAGGAGCGTTATAAAGTCATAAAGTCGAGGGGCGTGAATTATGTAGGATTCTTAACAAGCTGGGAATGTGGATCATGCGTTCGTGAAAAGTATGCCTATTTAAATCGTCCTTGCTAGCTAACCATAAATTTGTATCATCTAATATTGTTGTGATTCGATGTTTATTTCATGAAATAGATATAACCGAATCAACGCCATAGGAACGTCATGTCGGTATCGCAACCAGGATTGTCTAGACCAGGCCTCTGATCTCTACCACGAGTACATGGAAATGGATGTTAATAACACTGCAAACCTCCCTGATTATGATATCAATCCGTAAGTAGAAATTCATTATTTCATAATGTGTTTTTTATCATAGAGGATGGCATTGAAACGAGTTTATGCACTTATTCTTTCGCATGAAATTTGATATCTCTAATGAAATTGTGCTTTTCGTCAGTCTTGTCATGGTCTTAGATATGTGTTATAGATAATACAACAATTCCTACAAAGATAGCTTTATTGTCATGCAAACAGTTTAATTTCGTCCCTAGATGTTTTATGCATGTCGTTACGTAAGCGAAAGGAAATTAATCTTTTCGGGGATCGAACAATTTCATGTCATGTATAAAATATCTGAAATACAATACCCACGTCAACACACATTTAACGCAGTTCTTGCTCTAAAAAGACGACCCATAGCCCTCTTGCGGCAAATGTTAAGCAATCCATCTTCTTTAAAGAGTCTTTCACAATGTTAAGAAACAAGTATATCCTCTCCTCTTTAGCATCACTCCTAACCTGAAGACGACGGTCTACTGCTACGGAATACAAGAGGGTGGACAGGAAGAATGGGACTTTGGCTGGAAGAAGTTCGGCGATACCAACGATGCAGCTGAACAAACTAAGTGGCTTTATGCTCTGTCATGTTCACAATCACCGTGGATTCTAAGCAGGTAAAAGAGTAATGAGGAGGAGGAGGAGGAGGAGGAGGAGGAGGAGGAGGAGAAGAAGAAGAACAAGAAGAACAAGAAGAAGAAGAAGAAGAAGAAGGAGGAGGTTAAAGATAAAGTTGAGTTCTGGTCATGCGATTGCATTGTGAAAGAAAAGGTGTGGAATGGGTCAGAAAAAGTTGATCATGTAGCATGTAATTATTGGTGTGTACTGCAAGGTTCTGGAGTCATCAAAATCATAATAAATTTGGCCCAGTCTTGGTAAAGTAACAAGTACTGTGCACAGAAAGATTCGCCACTCTTCAGCCTGGTTTAGTAATCGAGTACCTGGTAGAAAGTTATTCTGCGAACGGTTTCATCGCCTGTTTGCAACTGAGCTATATCAAGGGTAATAATAGTACTTTGTAGGCACATTGAGCATCACCTGGGATGGATATGTGCGCTATAAAATATATTATTGTAGCTAATATCAATCTTTTTATCTCTCCATCAGATATTTGGATTATTCTCTTGATCAAACATATCTCCGAAAGCAAGATTCATCCTACGTCATCAGATACGTGTCACAGAACTATATAGGCCGTTCACTCGCATGGGACTTCCTTCGAAACGAATGGGACACAGTTTATGACTAGTAAGATAATTCCCTCATCTAACATTTTCAATTTCGTCTTTCTTTGTTTCTAGTAAATAGGGATTATTTTTGGTATAAAATTAGCAAAATTGAATTAATAATGAAGCTCGTAATCTTTAAATACTCTGAATTTCTACTTCTGTGGATAAACTATTAAACTATACTTTCGTTCCTGTTGTTTGTAAAGACCAATTTAGGAAAGGATAGATACAATTTATATTGGACAAACGGACAACGAGCGTTTTTCAATTTTGTATGCATAGTTTAGATATTGTCTTTTATATTTTGCATTATTTCTCCGTAGGGCAAATCAGATATTATCATTCAAGATATTTGAAAAACCGATGTTCATATTTACAAATCAATTTTAGAAATTGTAGGTAGACTAGTTTTTTTCACGGCTCATTGCTAAAAATGGAAAAAAATTATTAAGCACATCTTAATCTACATGGAATCAAATAATTTTTCTAAATTATTCCTTTTAAAAAGAAAATGAGTCCATAAACCTACTAGTCTTTCTAATTGCTCGTCATTTAACAACTCAATACTTTGTGTCAAAATGCCTTTTTCTGTTAGCCTCCGTCGATTCAACGAGTCAAAACACAAACTGCTTTCAATACTTCTTCTCGTATCCAAACATTCCATTTGAATTGTTTATGTTGTTCACTACTTTACGTTTCAATTTGTTATAATTCAATTTTCAATGCAAACTTACGCACAGTTACGGCGGAAGTTCGTTTTCGTTCAGTAACATACTGTCTACCGTGACAGCAGACTTCAACACCGAGCTTGAGTTACAAGAGGTATGTAGACAACTTTAAAATTATATGTGAATGCTTGTATATAGATTGCCTGTGATTTGTTTCGTCCTAAATGCATCATACTGGTCATGGACTTTTGCTGTATTGCGTGTGTTTCATATATATTTCTCTCGATTTTGAGTTGAATAGCATGTAGTTTAGTGTTTAGTCATATCATCTTACTGCATCAAAATGTTATGTTTTTTTTTCTTCTTCTGTCGCGCTGCACTTTGTGTGTTTCATATATTTCTCTCGAAATTAATTCGAGTATGAGCATTGTTGTTGTGTGTCTTTATGTTACCTGCTGCATCAAAATTGTCATTCATTGCCTGGGTGTATTTCATTTATTTCTCTCGAAATTAAATCAAATAGCATTGTAGTTTAGTGTCTAGTCATATCGTTCTCTTCCATTGTCAGGTTTGCATTTTGCTGCTTCATTTACAGTGAAAGGGCTTACTGAATTCCTTTTTTATTTAAGAATTAAAATTCAGCATCTTGAAAAAAAAAGCATTTTTCAATGTTAGACTTTTTCGAGCAATGTCACACTGTTGAGGTATTTACATAAGATTTCCTGGATATTCGAAATATATTCAAAGCTACATCGCACTTCTATAAAGGCACTCGCTATTCACCACTTCTATACTCTACACGTACCACATCATCATGCCTGAACCATTGTGTGTTTCACCAGTATATCTTGTCTACTCTTATTATTCATTCGTGTGGTACCTCTTTCAGTGGTGTATAGCATAATCGTTCATAACTGTGTTGGATAATTGTAAAGGCTAAACAACGTACTCAATGGAAATGTTTCCCCGAGGCATATCTATATAACAAACAAACAAAATCTGACCAGCAACATAAAAGAGTAAAGACAGAAATAATGATAACATGAATCGTCTATGTTGACACAGCAAACGCCATCAGAGCTCCCGTTACTATGACAACACCATTATCAATATAGTTTTTAATCCTGTACTTTTCATTATACTCTCAATCAGCTAATGGCATATTATGGATGTGTTAGTATTTTTGGAGAAAAAAGTGACCATCGAAAAAACAACACCTGTTACTTCGCACCTGTCACTTCACATCCCGATACAATCTCAAAATATCAAACAATATAAAATACGCTATATTCAACATCTCATCCAATGGCATGTTATGACCAGAAATTGATATTTTTAAGGGGGCGAGGAGATTAGGCAGTCCACTCATTGCAGTATTTGGTATTTATTAAATATCAAATTGTGTAATGACATTATATTGATTGATTGTTTACTAGTGGGTATTTGAGGAGGGGGGGGGGGGTGTCAGATCTACATTCTGCTAATGTATGTCCATATGTATTTTGTATAGTTGACATGTACTTACTTTCATGCTACATTGGTATATTAAACAAATCGAATGTAAAGGCTCTGTTTTTGTTTGTTTTAAATGTATACTTTTGCAAATCACTTTCATACCATGTAAGAAGAGGTCAGTTTAACAATGATACTGAAGCAATACTATGAAAGCCTGGATAATCATTGAGATGTTAATGTAAAAACATATTGGGCAACAAGAGTACTTAATTTTATTTGAGGAGAATAAATAAAATTATAATTTGCGAAAATTCAGATAAGTTGCACAGGTTTTTAAAAATGGAATAACCCCAGGGTACGGTACTTAGTAATATCAAACTTTAAACTGACAGAAATGTTCTATTGGGCCCGGAGCTATTGGGTATCAGCTAGGTTCATTGATTTTGAAAGGTATTACGTAGTCGGTCGTTGGGGTTACACTCCTCTCCTCCGAGAGTTTTTAGATCACAATATTCACAATATTTACACTAAAGATTGAAAAATAGAATGTTACAGTCTGAGGAGGTATGTTGGAGAGAAAATGAATAAATGCGGGGATAAGTGGACACATTTTGGATTAACCATATTCTGATCCTATCTCGAATTCTCTTATAGCTCAAGGATTTCGGCGCAGACGGCAAGAACTTCGGATCTGCGCAGAGGACGTACGAACAGGCAATCGAGAAGACAGAAGCGAACATCGTCTGGATGAGCACCAATGCCATGGCAGTAGCAGAATGGTTCGAGGGAGCGGCGCCCATGATCGGGGCATAAGGAAGGACCACACCCAGATACCCCTCTCCAACCAGGGCGTAAACCTTCAGCGTCACCACGACAACCACTTCTACTACCATCATCATCACCGCCACCACCATCACCATCACCATCTCTTCTCTCCCACTCTGTTCTAGAGGAACGCGATTGTAAAAACTTTCAAGAATCAGATAGTTCCAATAGCTTTGTGGCATCACCTATTGAAATGTTCGAACATTGCATGGCACATTACGCATTCTGAACATGCCTGTTATCATGTCTCTATATGTAATACAGTAGGATATTGAAATTGCCCTTAACCTTAAGTTGATTTCTTGAAATTCTTTGCGATCGTATTTAGGATTGAAGCTGATTTGCGTGATGCTGATCTATACACTACATCACAAACCGTCATCATACTCCTGTCAGGCGTCATTGTTCGATCATTATCTATGCCAAAGTGGAAGAGAATGTTGTCCAATATTTACACTGTCTCGGTTTATGAATTAAACTTTGTTCAAGACCTTTTTCGTTACCCTTACAACGTCTTCTGGTTTGTAGTTTCCCAGATGTATTCAATTGTAACACCGAAGATCTTTTCGAAAAAGTTCATTGCTGGTCATTTTAACGTTTACCCGTTACTTTCTGGCATATTCGAATATTTTTAACATGAAAAATTAGTCTTATACATAATGATGAAATTATTATTATTATTATTATGATATGAAATTCAAATGAAATAGCCCCCTTAATGGGCGCTATGGAAAATTCTGTACAAAAATGGATATATTAGGAAAGTTGTATTTTCAGATGTATCATAATAATAATAAATACAATAATTGTAGAGATGATATTCATAATCATATGCTGTACATGCAACTGTTTCTTCAAAAAAAATATTAAAAAAATAAAAAATGATCGCAAACGCTGACGAAAAATGACCTAAGGCAATTTTAGTAGCTTTCACCTTTTGAAATGTTCGAACATCATTATGACGTCATCCGAACATGATATATATGGGATATTCAAGGGGAGGTGCGCTTGAGTTGATTTTTCGAAAGTCTTTGTGATCGTGCTTAACGGTAAGTTTCTTTAAGTTGACACAGCTTATCGGTTCACCAAGTATTTGGATGTAAATATTAAGTGTTTACCAGGCATATTATAACCGCACAATGTACGTTCTCATTTACCAACATGTATATATATATTAGAGGAATTTCCTATCCATGTCCACGCTGGGCGTGTTTTAGTTAGATTTTATCACTAGTTTTATGCATTTTAAAACCAACAAGTGAACCCAGTGTGTTTTGTGACAGGTATACAGTATACTGTATTTACAAATTAATCATCACGAAAGACGATATGAGATCGTACGCATCAGGTATATAGTTTGTTCGTGAACGAATCAAATCTTACCTCGGATTTTGTTGGTGTCGACCCTATACCTATCCGTATTTCATTCGGACTGTTACACTTTCTATTGGGATATTGTCTGTGATGTTTTGTAAGCTACAGTCTTTTCCTCTTTTCCTCTCCTTTTTTTGATTTCCTGAAAATCACATTCTTGTAACGTTTAATCTAGTTTAGCTTCTCATGCAACCTAAATAATCCGCTGTATATTTTGAAATATTTGTTTCGATTCCAGCTATACTAATGTAAACATTTGTTTTAGTTCATTTGAAAACGAATGCCGCCATTTTATTTGTACTTGATGCAGTCTATGTGATGTAATGCAAAAATGAAACGAAGTACAATGCACTTTCACATTATACCACACATCGCTGTAAAAACATGCATTTTGATGTCAAATATGCAAATAATGTCAGTAAGCGCCAATGTACTTTTAGAGATGTAATTCTACTCAGATTTTTATTTAGAAATAGGAGGATAGTTTCAAATGCAATATACACGTCTAGTACTTGTATCTACAATCATGATATATATACTCCTGGAAGATTTGAATGTATTTGATTGTCATTTAATTCATATTGAACTACCTTGTGTATTTTTCAAATCAATTTATCTAACTATTTGGAAGAAAGTATATATCACCATTGATTTTGTAGTAAAATGTGCATATTTGAATATGTATGAAGACATGCCAATTAGTATGATTACGAGGTATCGAGTAATATATTTATAATACAACGAATTGTGACTGTGTTATGAACTACAATTTGATTTTTATTGAATAAAATATACTAAGTTGGATAATCAGAGAAAAACCACTTAAAATCGAGTTAGTTATTTGTGTGTAATCTTATGATATTATCAACATAAAAAATTGCTCTAATATCGAGATGGAATCATTGTACGTTGTGCATGAAGAAGAAAACAATATTTGAACCAGGATTGGTTTGAAGCTGCAACACTTTTAAAATCAATGTTTATATTACACATGACATGATATTGTATATCTTAATGACTAACAGTTTTATGTAATCTTTTTATGGACTATCTTTTAATAGTCTGTTTCATGCAGTGCCCAACTGAATATTAAAAAAAAAAAAACATACCATGAAATACCTAATCCCCCCCCCCCTCCACACACACACACACAAGACATCAGTGTACTGACCGTTTCACCAAGAGCATACCCATTTCTCCAAAATTTGGGAAGGGGGGATGTGATACTAAATGCCCACCACCCCCGAATTTAGGGGCATAATTGGAAGATCCGATAAAAGGAAAAGTGTCCACTAAATGTGTAATTTTCTTAATTATTCTCGCTGTTAAAATTGTATGGATCCAGTTGCGTACGCAGGGGGGGGGGGGGGTCGAACCCCCCTCAATTTTTGTTTATATGTGTGTTTTTGAGGTTTTGGATTTTTTTTGTGTGCTAAAGGGTGACCAAAAAAGTGACCTCCCCCCTCCCTAACTGAACGAAATATCGGCGGCCAAATTTCCAAATTTACAGGACAAAAAAAAAAAGTGGTCTTACCTCTTACCCCCCCCCCCCCCACTTATTCACCGGCTGGCTGAGTCGTTGCGAAATTTTTGGGACAAAAAATTGCTCTTACCACCCCCCCCCCCCTCCCCCCGCCCCCGCTTATTCAGCGGCTGGCTGAGTTGTTGCGAAATTTTCGGCGCGATTTTCAAATTTTAACCCCCCCCCCCCCCCTCGAAAAAAATCCTGCGTACGCCACTGTTTGGATCCATCACTGATAATAACTGCTTACATCATGTTCAAAAGGGGGAGTGAGAAATATTGTCATATGATATATATAAAATAATATTTAAAACATTTGAAATAAAAATCCAGAGTTAGTTCTTTTCTTCACTATGACTATTTTATTTCTGCATACTATCTGAAGAAATAAAGTTGAAAACGGTTGTGAAGAAGAGAACTCTCAAGGATCGTCATTTTAATTGTTTTTATTATTATATGTATATTGCCGTGACGGTTGTCAACATTAAATTATTTGTTCGATATATATAAAACTGTTATTATTACTCTTTTGCTTGTTTGATATCTTTAACATATCGGTCCGATACCTCCATCAAAATAATCCAGATGAAGAAACATAGAGGTTAAATAAGGATAAGAATCATACGATTTAAGATAATTATTTATGATTTATTAATTATGATCTTATGAAACCATAAATCAAATCAAAATCAAATCAAATAATATACGATCATAAGATTTGCCCAAGGCATCCGGGCTGATGTCGAGCATTACTGAATGGTTATTTACAAATTATACTTTGTTTCTTTCTTTCAGCTATGGAACCAGTGCCTTCAAACTGCGTTCGATAATCAAGGCAGTAACGCAGTACATGAATACTCCTGCAGAACTTCAGAAGGTAATGAAATCAAATCACGATCGCAAAGACCTTCGGTAAATAATCATAACAGAGGCAAATTCAGTATAGTCTTGTCCATAACCGATTGAAATGTGCGAATCGCACAATAACATGGTTTCTGAAGGAAATACAATCAGGTATTGAAGTTGATTTAAAATTGCTGATCATCATTAATTTGTTGAAAGTTTTTTACGATTGTATTTTGAATAAGACAAGCGCAAAGACTTTTAAAAAATTGACCTGAAGCAGTTTATTTATTTATTTTATTTATTTATTCTCCACTCATGGGATGGATAGCCCTTGTCAGTTATAAGCTGTTTTTCAAAGGGGTCCAGGCCAAGATAAAAACATACAATAGCCTTGTGCGTCACCTACTAATCCGAACATGATTTATGCAGGCAATACAATAGGGTATTAAAACTTTCCTTGAGCTGATTTGTCGAAAGCAGTTGCGATCGTCTTTTTAATATGTAATTTGATCAAATACGATTTAATAGTATGTCACGTGCTATGGAAATAATGTACTCTGTTGGTAATAATGGTGGAATATTTTTTTTACCCCGATTTATGGAAAGATTTTAACAATGATTTATTCCTACTAGATCTAGATAATAGTATACATTCTCAGATTTTATTGAATAATAATTTGTGAGTGTTTATTTTGCGTGACTGCTAAAGCATGTGTATGCTACTATGCTAATCTACGTCCTTAAGTTATAACTGACAGTAATTAGGAATAATGCCTCATAAAAGGGCACTAATAAAGCATATCGACACGGTTTTGATCCTGTGGGCTCACAGTAACGGGGTCATTGCTTAGCCACTGAATCATGACTGTACGCAGCGGGGGCTAGGGTATGTCGCCGCCCCCACAAATACACAAAAAACAAAGAAAATGCAATAGATTTTCAATAATTCATTGCATTTTCCCCCGGTCCCCAACGTAAACAAATCCTCTGTAGGGCAATGCATTATGGGTCAAGGCATGCCCACATAGAGGATTTTTTTTATCTTAGAGGTCGGGGCAAAATGCAATGAATTATTGAAAATTTATTGCATTTTCTTTTTTTTTTTTTTGTACTTGTGGGGGCGGCGACGTAGGGTAAGAAACACCGGCACTACTTATTTGGATGCGAAATTATCAATACCGTTGATAATATTATCATTATCATCATAAAATTGATACCCATGCACGAAAGCTAACAGTCGAAATGCGTCTTTCAGTTCAATGGAAATTGGCCACAATTACAGTATTACCCACTTTATCCATAAACCCAGCATTTTGGTATCTTATGGTGATTGAATCTAATACTTATAGTTATACCTCATAAGTTATACATCATTATACATACATGCATAATATTTATATATTTTTCATCGTAGCTCCGAGAATTTAAGGAGGGACGGGACTTTGGAAGCGCTGCCAGGACGATAGTACAAGCAGAAGACTTGATTCAAGCCAATATCTGGTGGATGGCACACAATGCTGAGATCGTGGAGCAGTGGTTGCGAGACCAAGCAGGGGAATAAACAGGACTCTCTTATGCCCTATGTGGTGGTGAGGGGGGGGGGGGTGGTCCCTCTTTTGTATTTTAAAGATAAAGTTTAATGAGAGGTTCCAACCCTAAAACAAATTAGTTTGAAAAAAAGACAGTTTTAGGTTTTTAAAGCTTTTGATCATTATTATCGATCAAACGGAAATTAACAGCTCCGTGACGTAATATTATTGTTACTTCCTCTACATTTTGCTCGGTATTGAAATTTCTAATTAAATTTTAATTTCGATTGTTGATGGAGGAATAGATTTTTTATAACTTGTCAAGTTTAAAAACATACATTTCTTACCCCTTCCACGGATTTTCTACACTGTTTCACTGCTCTGCTTGTCTAAAATGTTACGCTCTTGGTTGAGCCGGCTATTATGCCAGGGGAGACATAATTATGATTGAAGGGAATAAGAGCATGCTTTTTACCAGAACATGGCAGTCTTTGAATAATTGCACATAGAAGCAATTTTCAAGCTGTTTGATAAAATGTTTGGGAAATATAAATTGCTATCTTTTACTTGGTTATCTTAATTACCCAAATTATTTGGATAGATATTTTGCCATATAGGTCGAATAGTTCATTTATTAAAAATTGTCTCTGATCGTGCTCGTGACAGCGATTTCAGACCTACTTTAGATAAAGAAAGTTAGAAATGTTATATTTTTTGTGCATGTGTGCATTTCGCAAATGTGCGTTGATATCATGTAAATATGTATTAAAAGGTCAATTGTTTAGAGAAGGTCCACATCATCAACATTATACAGTTTTGTTTTACTCCAGCAATCAAATTTTCTTGCCCGAATATTAGTCATTTGAAAAAAAAAAATTGGGGAGGGGGGGGGGGGGGCGGTCTGCAGCCCGGGCCCTAGATCCCTACTTCGTAGATCTATGTATATTATATTGATATTGATGTTGTGCCATCCACTTGCCGTTATATAAATTATACACTGTTTGTTCTAAAGTTAAATTTCTTGAAACGTGATTCGTGATTCAATAGCCCTCGCTCAAAGAATAACCAATATTATACGGGCTTTAAATAAAAATGTATTTTCGAATCGTTAAGAATTCTAGACTCATTGTAATAACATTCATTGATGTAATTTGTTTAAACAAACACGTTCGTTTTTCGACTATTTTCATAATCGTGATTTCAACATAGAAATGCTCTTTCATTATGCTAATCTTGATTCTGTGATGTTTTAGTGAATAAAAACAAAACTAACTTTACATTATCGGGTTTCAGCCATATTTGTACATCCGGACCAGACTGAGCATTTTATGTATGGTATATCCCACTAACGTCAAACAATTATGTATTTACAGTTTGTCCAATTCTGATCACTTAAAAAGAAACTAGACAAAGACTTCACAATCATTGGGTAAAAGAGAAAGAAACTGCTCGATATCGGTTTCCGCAACAACTTGAACGAGGACATTTTGCAAAATGTTATCAGCTTCTGCTGCTGTAAAATTTACTGGTAAATTTTAAATTCATAATTTTAACATTTTACCTTCAGTATACACTGTATGAACTAATAAAGACCTTTATTTAAAAGTGGAAATTTCTATTACGTTGAATATTGTTGATGCTCACGGTGAAAGGTATCTTTGAATCTATGTGATTACAAATCATTATGACGGGAGGAAATAGATTTGTACTTGTATACACCAATGATAATTATGACACACCATATACACCATATAAACCATACACCATATACACCATCTCGACATGGATTGTCGAGATGTGGTTATGAAAATGTATTTTAAAAAACAGGGAATTAAATTGTACACAGTTGTTTTGCAAACGGCATTGTGAAATGAAAAAGGCTTTATGGTCCATTTCAAGCGTTAAATTGTCAGAGATTTTTTAAAAGTTGAATGAAGAATAATGAAGAAATTTCAATAAAACTCTAGCAAATAATGATATGATAACTAAATGATACGATGCTGTATCACTCTATTTTGGTTTTCTATCAACCATTCATCAAATTTATGAATGTTGAATTTTATATAGGTTTGTTACGGAATGACATGGAAGGATTTTGTTTGTGCTCCTTCTGTAACAAAGCTATTTCAAAATATGTCTATGAATTTGTCGAACGATTGATAGGAAAACAAAGTGTTGTGAAAGTAACTCATTCATTCATTTATTCATTCAGTTTTTTTTATTTTTGTTAAAACATCTGTAATATAATTTTTTTCAAAATTGAAAAAAATCAGGAAATGTAATTCAGTAACGCTTTTAATCGACCATGACTCAGTCGTTATTGGTGGAATGCAAACAAAAAAGTTAGCCTATAATAATTATACAGAATAGAGGGCAAATGGGCTCAGACTTTTAAACCCTTATAAAAAGAAAAATTGAAAGTTACCAGACCTAGAAAGAGATGACACATCTGGTATCGATTACACTGTTTATAATGACATAATTTAAAAAAAATCTCTAGCAAGGGGGAATAGGGGGGGGGGGGGTATGGTGGTCCAGGCTAATGAAAATTATACCCTATATATAATTTTTTTCAATCCGTTACAAACTTATGGTGTGCCAACATTATAGGTAGGTCGAATGAAAGAAAACAAATATCTCAACTGAATATGAGAGTGTTGGGCGGGGGCAGTAAGATAGGGGGCAACTGGTACATGGTTATGCTAATGTCTGCAATAGTTAATTTCTGTGAATATATGTATTGTTGAGTTTGGACTACTCTTGTTTTGAAGATTACAAACTAATCCTAACTTGATAAATGCATGAACGATAGAACATAAAGAAGGATATTATTGGGGAGGTTTGTGACATCGAGTGAGTAAATACGGACAGATATTTAGATAGATAAAGGGGAGAGAGAAAGAGAGAATGTAAAGAAGAGAGAGAGAGAGAGGAGCCGAGAGAAATTAGAAACAAAATAGAGAGGAAGATAGGCACAGAGAGAATGAGTCATGAATGTCAAGTTGAATTTAATTTTGTTGATTTCGAAGGTTTTTGTATGTATACATCATTCAATATTTGGTATGATTTACCCATTCGATATCTATAAACAACCTGTGCATGGTTAAAATTAGATTAAAAACATAGAAATGTAATTCCATACATAAAAACATGTAGGCCTACGAACCACAAAGGAGAACTCATTTGTATTTACTTCATTACCCCCTTCTCCTCCCTCTCCTCTTGGGGACCGTATTGCACCTGCTGCGCTGACCTGGGTCAGTGTGTGCACCCTGTTCGTACCCCCTAGCACCCCAGGACACGGGGGCGGCAAATTGTATCACATGTCCGTTTTTAACCAATCCCGACCCCTGATTCCTCGGTGACGTACGAAGCTGCACCACCCTAGCGCGTCCGCTCACGACCCCCACGCACTCAATACATGCGAAATACAAGGGTGGGGAAAAGCCAGTCCTATTAGACTTTTTAACAGATTTCGTTGATAAAAAGCGTATCACTTCGTCAGAGAATCCTGGAATCGACGTGAGAGACATTCTGAAGGTGATTTGATAAGTTGTAGAACTGTTCGAGAGAGTTAACCTGTGTTTTTTCGAGGTGGTTTCTGTCGGCTTGTGTGGGTGACACTTCGTGTGCCGAATATCTACAACACACAGTCACACACTGTACGCCATACGTGAATAAACACATACAGCAACCACTCGGCGTGTAGTAAACTTCGTAGAATGGAAGCAGTTCGGCCGTGATTACGGTGAAAAGTGATACGGGAGAGCGCTCTCTGCCAGCACATTATTGTTTTACAAGCATTAAACTATTAATAGGTAAGTAAATATGAAATAACATGACGTTATTCGGTGTGTTTGTTTTTTACAGAAATGATGGTAGGCTAGCTGTGGGTGCGGGGTGGACGTGGAGGGTCGGGTCAGTGGTAGGGGTCACATGCGTGCCTTGGTTTGGCGATTGGGGGCGGGGCCGGGCGGGCGGAGCCTGCTGTACATAGATGCACGCATCCGACCTCTAACGTGTAAGGTTGGGTTTTTTGGACGAGGTGGAAAGTTTCTAGGATTTGTTTTTCTCCCGACAAACACTTAAACACATGTTGATATAACAAATGTATAACAAATGTAAATGTATAATGATTAATGTATATAAATAGTTTCTTGAGAAAAATAAATCAACATCTCACAAGAAAAAAAATCAAGGACAAGGGAAATAGAGAGAGGGTCCCACAAATCTGGTTTGAGTGATTGAGCCTACTACTAAGCTTTGAACATTAGAGATAATTTACAAACCAAATTGATTAAAACCTGTGAGTTAACATGTCCCATATCGATAATGATATATGTTTAAAATTTTGTGATTTTGTTTTGTTTTGTTGGGGGGGGGGGGGGAGGGGTGTAGGGTATTTAATTTTAAAACTAACAGAATAACGGGATTGCATTAAATGTTATGATATTACAGGTACATGTATTTCAATATTGTGCTAAATACTGTAAACTCTTTCCTTGATGTGGATCAAGATTCAAGGACTGTCATATTGTTTGGAGTATATACTGTGTGTATATACATGTATATAAGAATATATATATATTGTATGCATGCTAAAAGTTGACTGTGGGACTCCAGTGTATACAGTGTATGCCATTAGTCATCAAAAGCCTGTAGAGAGCTTATACAAATTTGGTATATGATTAATCAATGATATCATTTATAAAAGTTGCGTTGCCTACTTGAAATTACTAACACAATTTAGTACACCATATGGAAAGGAAATTTAAATATTAAGTGCCATGCAGGCTTTATTATGGAAGCGGTGTGCCGAAGATTTGGTATTAAATGTCATGCTATTGAGCAAAGCTAACACATATGAATAAATGTGAAATATGTACTACATGTAATGTATATTAATTAATATTTAGATCCACTGTATTTCCAATTTGGTTCAATTATTTATAGTTTCTACAGTACATGTAGTACTGTAGTTGAAATAATAATAATAATAATAATAGGAGGAGAAGAAGTACTATTTATTTTAAAGTTATGATCAATTGAAGTGCATACTATGTTATTTGTATCTCTTTATGTAACAGGGCTTAGCTGAGGCTAGCTCTAAGAAGTCCAGAGACTTATCTCACCAAACAGCATGGCTGAAAGTAGACGCCTTTCCATGCCCCAGACCCTGAGTGAGCTTCAGCTCTACCGAGTCCTAGACCGGGCCAACCTGCTCCCTTACTACACTAACTTCATCCTCCAAGGAGGAGACGACGTCCAGCAGCTCTGCGAGGCAGGAGAGGACGAGTTCTTGGAGATCATGTCGTTGGTTGGCATGGGCAGCAAACCCCTCCACGTGAGACGTCTGCAGAAGGCACTACAGGAGTGGGTGGCTAGTCCTGCAGCTTTTCAGGTTTGAATTGACAAATTATATCTATATAATTTAGAAATAAGTCATACATGTATATATGTCTTATCATTTTATGACATTCAAAGCGTACAGTACTGTTGATAAACATCTCTATTCCCCTTTTATCTCAAGTGGTTGTCTTTTTGTTCATGGATAGTTCTTTCTATTAATTCTGGATTTATTTATTGATAATAATGATTCATGAAGGCACACTGTCCTACTTGTAGCTACTTGCTCCCTCTATATAGAAAACTTCCCAAATCGGTGCCTGTTGGTCCCCCATGATCCTCTTTTTCTTATGTTAAATGAGAGCCGAGTTAATGGGATAGCCACCTGTCACAGTGACCTTGCTGGCTAACTGGGTGGTCTAATCCCTTCTGGCTGAAGTAATAATAATAATAATAATGATAATAATAATAATAATAATAATAGCCTAAAAGTCCACGCCAAATTTTATTAAACCAAAACGGAAATTCTTTTTGCCCAATTGATCGTGAGCCCGGCAGCCACTGAGCAGCGTCAGATCGACGTTGCTCTATCCCTTATTGTTCAACGCCAAACAAGGTAGCAACAACTCCCATCTTTTAACGTCTTTTGGTATGACGAGGCCGGGGTTCAAAACCCACCTCCCGGTTGTAAGACGGACGCTCTACTGACTGAGCCAACACTCCGGTAAAGCCTCCCTTTGGATAAAGTTAAATATTTGACTTGGGCTGAATCAGAATATGAATAGGATTTATGAATGTAGGTTAAAGTGCAGAAGTCATGATAATATACCTGTAACAAATATGCATCAATATTAACGTTCCATTGCCATCAAACTGAACTATCCTATATATTTCAGGAGCCACTAGCATCTCAACAAGCCCTCCCCGGTCAGATGTCCGGTATAGACATTCCACTAGCGGTCAACCTCCAGCCCCATGGGAGCCTGCCCTCTGGTCACCACACCCCAGGAAGATGGCAGCATGGAAACGCATCAACATCCTCTTCCTCACCTGGACATCCTTCCACCACAAGTGCCACACCCAGTCGCATGTCGCCGGGAACCTCCCACCAGATCTCCACCACCACCCCTCCCAGCTTCCGCCCCATTGGGAACCTGTCCTCTCCTTCCCCCGCCGTCTTCAACTCTGCCCCCATCTCTCGGACGGACAACCCGGCCCTGAGCAGGGAGATTGTCGAGAACATCCGGGCGTCGGCAGAGAACGTTGTACACTCCGAGGGTCTGTCCTCACTACCGCTCAACAAGAAGATCACGAGGGAAGTGGAGTACATCCTTGGTATGTCTCCGGATCACCCTAACAGGATGGAAGAGATACACAAGTGGTCCAGCATCTATGGCAGATTTGACTCCAAGCGCAAGCTGGAGAAACCTCTAACACTACATGAAGTGAGTATTTGTTCTGAGAAGTAGGAGTTTTAGGGTATATGTATAACATGGTGTAAGGTCATATTTTTTGTGGAAAATAGTACCTTGTAGAAAATGTAGACCTGGGGGTGTTACATAAAGATCCTTAGTCGAACTTAAATCTAAGTTGCAAGTTGGACTTAAATATTATGGAGAGACATTTGTAGCCTTAAAATGAAATATGTTCAAAAGCAAAAATTCAAGTATTTTAGACTTTTCATAAATTCCACATCGAGAACATGAAATCTCCTTGATAATAAAAAATATGAATGATTTGAATTAACATTTTATGCCTTTTAAAATAACTTGTACAAAATATTTTCAAAGATGCTAACCACTTTCCATAATTTTTAAGTCCAACTTAGAGATAAGTTCAACTTAGGATCTTTGTGAAACACCCCCCTGGTCCAATCTTATCAACAGTTGCGATTAATCACAACTTATTTGCGATCGATTTCAATCGCAACTATGTACATATAATATAGAAGACTGTAAACTTGCGATTGATTGGAGAACTTTTGATTGATTCGGATCAATCGCAACTCTTTATAGACAGGACCTAGAGCAACGAAACAATTAAGGGAGGCATTTGCCCCCTACACCCAGAGCCATCTATAAACAGAGTTTGACCAGCCCGGTTCGAGTTGGACACAATATGGCGACAATATGGGCAAGCACAAAACAAAAGAATATAGGCCATCTTGTTACCCAGTGAAACCAAGTATCAATATAATATATTGATTTTCAAAATTAACAGCTGTTTCAGTCATTGTAAAGGTGTTTTGTTCTAGTGTTTAAGTTTCTGGACTGTGAACCACAAGCCAGCACAATATATATACATATATGGAATATACCAATGTGAAATATATGAAGATGAAAACAGTGAACTGACCCTGATGATAAAGACTGTAATTGCTTATATTTCAAACAGGTGACAGTAAACGAAGCAGCAGCTCAGCTGTGTAATGTAGACCCCCATCTGATCTTACAGAGAGAGAAGCTCTTTCCTCTAGCCAGACAGGTGGTCAGAGATAGTGGTTACCAGTACAGACATGGACAATCAAGGTAAAACTCATACAAAAAATAATTGTATCCCTGTTAAACCCCCACACTTTTTCTGTTTTGAGTCTGTATGGCATTTACTTGAATACTTTTTAATAGTGTTTATTTCCTTCCTGGGGTGCCATTAAAAAAAAAAAAAATATATATATATATATATATATATATAAAAAAAATAATAAAAAAAATAATAATAATAATAATAAAAAAATTAAAAAAATAACGTTTATGTAAGTGAGAAGAATAGTTAATTTTCATGATGTGATTGCATGTAAACACTTTCTAAACCATATCCATATGCTGTCAGCCCTGTGTGATATATGATATCTAGTCTGTTTGTGACATGACCTCGGCACTGGAAGAGTTAAAATAAAATTCTAGGAATAGTGCATGGCATCTCTGGTTCTCTATGAAGCAAGTTTGATGTGAAAATTTAGACGATCCAGGCACTTTGACATACTATAGCCTACAGATAAATGCATATTAATTTCTCTAAATCCAAATTATAATAAAAACTTGACGTTTTTACACTCATTTCAGAGTCAAATATTAGTGCTAATTTTTCTAAAAATTCCATAAATCTTCTTTGTTAGGTCTTCAAAAGGCAAAAGGAAGGGCGAGTCCAAAAGCAAGCGAGCAAAGATCAACCATGATGCTGATTTGAACCCTAATCCCAGAACAGTCCATGCAGAGATCATGAAAATCAGGAGAGAGGTAAGAATGAACCTTAAGGCTACCTACCTCAAGCTACATTTTTTAGAATCCCCATCGGCCATTGATCTTCACACAAAAAACCTGCTATGGTACTACAGTGAAATAGTATTTTGTAGAGTAAGCATATTCTGAATTGTAATATTGTGGTAAATATATCCTTTTATCACATTATTTTACAGGATTATTGGGACCAATAGAAATAAATACAAATTGACTAAAACAAGAAACAGGCATTAACACAGAAGTCAGATACACATACAGGTATACAGATTAGGGACAATACTTTTCTAGGTAGCCTAAGCTTGAAAAAAAAAGTTAGCTCCCAAATACGAATTGTCCTTTAAAAGTTTCTCCAATTTCTTCATTTCCTTAAATGAAGCTATTATTCATGAATACTTCTATGAACCTCTTTCACTTTGGCAAAACAATTTGTTGGCTTCTTTTGGAATTATTTTTCATTTTTAAGAAAAACTTAGCAGGGTAAGATAACTAAATTTATCTTTTTTTGGAAGGAGAGGTTGAACGAGATCACAACACTGTTGAGCACCATCAAGACCCAGCAGTACGACCTCAAGGCCAAGATTTCCATCGGCAAATCAGAGGACAACCTACAGAAGGTTTACGATCTCCAGCTACAGTTGGAGAAACTCACCACTCAGCAGCTATCCTACATGACGGAACAGACGGACCTGATCAAGAAACAGAAGAGATCAGACAGGTAGCTTATCAAGTTTAACATACCTTGTCGTGTTGCTAGAAGAAGGGGCCTCAGTGAGCGTGTGCCATTGAGCCGGTATCTGGTCACTTGCTTCTATGGTTCTGATTGCTCTCTACATGTTATGCCAGCTTTTTATCAAGACAAGCCTATAAATACGTAGCCGTGATTTCTCAGTCTATGGTCTATGAAAAATGAGCGTTATGTCAAAATCAAATTGGATTGAATGGGTTAAGATGTAGCTGTGCTGTTCTTACATTCTTGATCAGGTATTATGTTGCTAAGGCGAAAGCCGAAGGAATGGATGAGGACGATGAGGAAGAGGACATTTTGCCTGAAGGATCAAATAACATCTTGCAAGACGACCAGCAGCAACAACAGCCACCACAACATCAGCAACAACAGCATCAACAGCAGCAGCAACAACAACCACAACAGCAACAACAGTCCCAGCAACAGCAGCAACAACAACAACAGATGCCTCCTCAACACATGACATCACAGCAAGGACAACCACATCCTGGTAAGTCTCAAAAAAGTTGTTTATTTCTCGCTTCTTGAGTGATAGTTTTGTTCTTTTCGTAGATAAGAGTATTGTATAAATGAATCATGAAGAAGAGCATTCACAAGCCAAAACCAAAAATACTTGTTTCAATTTGGCCAAGAGAGAGAAAAGGAGAAATTTCGTTGAACAAATTGCATAATATTTTTATCTGAGAACATTTTTTCTAGTATCCCTAGTTTATGAAAATGAAGAGAGGATAAACTAGGAACTATTGTTATATATTTGTAGTTTTAATGCTAGTTAATGAAAATGAAGAGTGGAGAAACTAGGAACTATTGTTATATATTTGTAGTTTTAATGCTAGTTAATGAATATGAGGAGTGGAGAAACTAGGAACTATTGCTATATATTTGTAGTTTTAATGCATCCAGTCACAAATAATATTAATGCCCATTCTCACAGTGTAATGTGCTTGGTATAGTTTGCCAATATGAAGAACATGATATTTATCATTAATTATTTTACAAACTACTTCGATTTCAAATTGATATTTTCAATACTGTGTAGTTAGTTATAACATAATTCTTCCATACAACTTTTTTTGTGTACTAATACAAGTAGTGTAGCATCTAAAGCATTTGTTGAGCTTGGTAATTTACAGCAAAAACAGGTCTTTGTCTCTGACCCCATGTTCGACAGGTCTCAAGTCCGAATGCTCCTCACCACATGTTGATCAAGGAGAACAACACAGCACCAACAACTCCCACAACCAGCAACAACAGCACCAACAACAGCACTACAACTCTACATCAAGATCTGACAGTCCTAATACACAAACAGGTAGTCATGGCAGCAGTCACATGCACAGGCAGATGGGCAGTGGTCAGTCAGTCAACCAGCAGGGTAGGAGGGTCAAGAATCAGCAAGGTAGTCACTCTAGCGCTCACTCTGGTAGTCAGTCCAGAGGGTCTGGTCAGCAACATCAGCAACAACAAGGGAGTGGTGAGCAAGACTACAACCCCGCCACCATTCCAAGCAACACTATATCCAGCGATCAGTACAACCACATCTCCACTACTCAGCAACATCATCTAGCGCCTGACGACATCCCCCACGCCGGTATGCCAAAGAGGGCAGCATACAAGGCTCAGCGTCAGATGATGCAGCACCTGTTGATGGACGAGGGGATCCGATTAGCGCAGACGTTCGGAGGCTACCATCAACCACCAATGAACCTTGTTCCTAACATGCCTCAGAGCAGTCACTTCCATCATGGGGTTCTAGAGCAACGTCAAGCAGTAAACTCACCCTCACAGCCCATGAGAGTCATGCAACATTAGTTTCTAGTTTATTACCTTCTTGTGCTGAACTTGCCATAGTATTCAAGCTTGCCACTGTGCCCCTGCAGCAAATTGGACTGAACGTTGTCATACAGAGATAAAACTGTAAACATTCAATGCCAGTGTTTTCTATGTGCCAAAGTAAAATGCTGTGGGTGACAATCTTGTGATATGAAAGTGTTGCTGTTTATTTCATGAACATAAATATGGTAACAACTGTGGGTGTCTGTTGTTGAGTGTTGTTCTTAAAAGCTCCTACATGATCACAGTAAATTGTGTTTAACCATAGAGTAAGTTTTTTTTTAAATTAGGTTCTACTGTTATCACATAAGAAAACAAGTTTCAGCATTATCAATTTTTTTAATAAATAATAAAGAATGATAGATGTAAGAACATTGACATGTGGAAAGAATTACAAACTGCTGCAGTTGATATAAACCAACTGCATATTGTCTGTTCTGAGCCAAAAGGGTGCTTACTATGTACAGTATTATGATACATGATGTCACACTCCTATGGCTCCAAACACACCCTATAGTTGAGTGATGATCAGTCGATGAATGATTGTTGATAAAGCATTCATATATGACCTCATGTTCTTACTGAAATATGGTTTATGCATTGCTATACTTCTTCCCCATGTGGTATAGAGCTAATCATCGCTTATGACAATTCCATTGTATTCTTTTCTGAATTTATATTCAAATGAAATTTATGAAGTAAATTTGTTTTATACTACTGTTACATACTTATTTGTATTTATGATTCATGAAAGAATACTGAAAGGCAGTGAAAGCAATTTTTTGAGAGACAAAATTATGTTGGTTGTATTTTATCAATGTTATAAGCTTTATATCATTCCAAAGATATAATTATAAAGGATTTTGCCACCTTTCTGTCAAAAAAATTTGAGGTTTAAAAAGCAAAATACTTTTGTTTTTCTTGGTGTTTTTTTAAAAGTAGAGTTACTGAAAAGGTCAGTTAGTCTAAATCAACCTCTGAAAATTTTGTGTGTGGTTGTTTTTTATGACATTAGAATAGACAATCCTGTGTTTGATGTTTATATAAATAATTCTCTATGAAAGTTTAATGTGTTTGTGCCTTTGAAATTGCAGAAAATATTTATTTATATATAATAGCAAACATGGCTATGACCTTGTAGCTCTTTGCAAGTTTTTGAATGTACCTTGCGTTTATGTAAGAAAACGATTCATTTCAGAAAAAAAGCCTTGTGACATATACATGTATAAATCAAAAAGAAAGCTACAACACAGCGATTCACCTTTTTTTAAAGGATTTCATGCTTCAATTATTATTGTGTTATTAAAGTGTTGGGAGCCAAACAAACTTGAATGCAAATATTCACTTCAATTGTATAATGAAGTGAAAGAGGATGTCATTTAACAATGACTTCTGATTTTCTGAATATATGTGTTTGAAGACGAATATTGATGAAAGAATACAAAACTTATGTTTTCTGCATACAACACAAAACCACAAGTTTTGTATTCTTTCATCAATATTCCTCTTTAAACACATATATTCAGAAAATCAGAAGTCATTGTTAAATGACATCCTCTTTCACTTCATTTCACAATTAAAGTGATTTGTTGCCATCCAATTTGTCAGCGAATTTGGGGCTCCTAATACTTTTGATTAATGTTCAGAATGTGCAGTCGTTATTTTTGTTGAAGTGAGTGATTATAAAGTGAACTAGCAAAATTAATTCAGTTTTGTTGCTTCCCTTTTGCCACTATATGTTATTAAAACAGTATTGCTTCATTTTACAACTCTTACTCAATGATGTATTATTCTAATTTCTTTGTTATCAGATTCTTGGTAGAGAATGTTTACAGTAGTGACATAAATGTATAAATATAGAGAAAGCGTAGATTTGACAAGAGTGACCAGATTTACGCTTACCAGTATGTGCCATGAACGTTTTGATATGGTCAAGAAAATGGTAAAATTATTTACTTTAATTTTAATTAGAATATTAAAAGAAACAAACCTGGGAGTTATGAGAAAGTAATGAACGTTTAGTAAGAGAACAAGTAAAATTGCTTTTCTATGAAAATGATAAGATCTCTTTCCTTACCACGTAGCACTATATTAATCGTTAAACAAATCCTTAAATCATAGATATAAATAAGTAGATTCCTTTTTATTTGTTTGTTTGTCGTCTACAAAGAGTTGAATAGTTCATCTAAAGGATTCATGTGGAAGCCAGGTTATTCAAAACATTTTCACCCTTTACTTCCCCTATTAAACTTGCTACACTTCAGAAAAGTTCAACCAGCCGTAAAGGATTATGATGACATTGCTATTTGTGAATGGAAATCAAATGTAACTAACAAACTAATATGGAGCGAACAAATACATGACATGATTATCTCCAACACTTTTGATACATCGATAAAGGCAACCTCCATTCTATATAGTAAGCGAGTACATGTATTCTGATGTTCAGAACGAAAATTTCGCATTGGGCCTATTATAAATTCTGATTTCTTTTTTTAATTTGTTGAATTTGTAATGATATATTTAACAATCTGATGATAATTCTGCACAGAAATCCCTCACTTCATCTTCAATTCCCTATCTCCTTTTCTATTTCCTTCTCTTATCTTCTCTCCGTCTCTGTCTCTTTCTCTCTCTCTCTCTCTCTCTCTCTCTCTCTCTCTCTCTCTCTCTCCTCTCCCTGTGCACACTAACTTTCCTTTTTTTTTATCATCACTGTCTTCGGCTGACGCTTTCCATTTTCTTTTCTTCAAAACGTTGGAAAGGTGATGAAATATATATACATTTTTATGAAATTGGGAGATTCTTTTCTTGATATCTCAGAAATGGTGCACATAATAATGTTCCCAAATAAACTCTGAAATACAGCGTAAAAATCAAATCAAGACGAAATTAAACTAAATTAAAATTGATTGTTTGGAATTAAAGAGCATTTATTAATTTATATCCTTTTAGAATAAAACACTTTTATTTCAAAAAGTTCAGTAAAAGCACAAAATATTCACAAGGTAAAAAGAACAAAAAGAACATGAAAGACGTATAACGTTTGCCAACTGACAGAAAAATATAAACATACACTTTATATAACCTGAATAAATTATAATCTCAAATAAGATAAATGCATATGTTTAGAATCATGTGAATAGTACATACATATATCAATAAATACAACAGCAGTATGTACATGTATATTGACGTATACATTATTTGATATGTTAGACAGACATGACTTTTGTTGATGGAAATTTATGCAATTTGAGTAATAGGTTGGAATAAAGGAGAAAGAGGAGGTACATTTATGAGGCAGATAATCGAGACCAATACACATTTAGGGTATCGGATGGTTGAGTTTCAGGCAATAATCTTCCATTCTCCTCCCTCAATTAAGAATTACAGATTACAGTACTGTATTTCAAATGAGATCCTAAGAGAATAACTATAACAAAAAAAGAGAAGTATCCAACTTGATAGATTCTAACACTGCAAGCTAGCATTGTGTTAAGACGATCAATGCTTATTGGTGTTTCACGAAAATGCACGAAAACACATTCAGGATGAATAAAACGAAACTGTGCGATTTCAAAATGTATCAAAAATAACTCTGCATCTTAAATGAATCCAACTGGTATACCCCACTCACATCGACGAGACCGACAACTTAACAGACAGACAAAAGATCGAACAAATTTTACATTGCCCCAAAGCATTTTGCCAGTCGGTGTGACTGGGAGCTGAACATCATCAATCCAGAAGGCTCAGGAAGAGATAGGAAAAAACGAAAATACTCTTTGAATAAATGTTCTCTCTCTCTCTCTCTCTCTAAAATGATTGTAATAATTATTTAAAAAATGGTTAGTATCTCTTCCTAACCCGGATCCTCGCTATCTTGCAGGTGAATTCATACATGGCCGTGGAAATATTTTCATTTTCATTTTTTCCACCACGGTGACATTGTGCACAGTGACAATGGGTGGGCTACAGTGTTGCTCCAGTGAACCGAATGGAAATGAATGTCCCTGCATATAATAACAGGTATGTCATACCCTGCAAGCAATGATATTTTGCTCCTATTCATAATTAATACATGGTCATTTCCCTATCTGAACTGAACGCAAATCTGTCGTGTCATGATATGTATAATAAAATCATTGCAAAAGAGCTTTGCCTTTATCGTAATGTAGGCTATTGACAGCATTCATTCAATTTTAATCGCAACTTTGCGCACCAATCAGGAAATCGTAAGATATATATTATTCAAGTTCCTTAAAGTGTTGAAAATTATATATAGTTATGATATCTTTAAATATATCAATGTGCATTCCACATCAAATGTTGCGATCATCGCTTAATTTAGATAACATGTAAAATGCAGAAATAGCTTTTCTGAAACTATACACCGAGGCCTGATTGAATACATCGAAAGATATCAAAACATAAAATAGGTAAAATTTCCACCAATACACAGGTACAGTTAGAAATGTAATTTTTGATATCTAAAGGGAGTACAACGATATAACTTCATTCAATTGCATAGAATTACATATTTATAACAACTGTCTGTACAGATCTTAAACGAGTTATAAAATGTTGCCATATTATCTTTATTGAGTAGAACAATACCATATACGTTATATAACGTTGTGCTAAAGTGTGTGTTGATCATGTGCTCCTGCATCAAAACATAAATCTAAAGTGTTACAGACTAAGGGACCTAAATCTTGTTAATAATATGCTTTTAACGTTTCCTGACAGAGAGCAGTGGAAAGAGGTAAATAATAATACTGAAAATGAGGACTAGCAAGGCTTCCCCACATTATAAAAATGTATAAATGTTTTTGCAAACATTTTGAACGATTTAAAAAAAAAATAATGATAACTTACGGTGGGAATTAGATAAATTTTAGATAAGTAATAACTAAAGTATTACACACAAATCACTTTTACACATAATAATTTATTAAATAAACTGAAAAACACATTTTTACACAATATTGACGAAGCTCAATATATGTTCCAGTACTGATCATGAATAAAAGTGGATCATCAATTTTCGTTGAAATATCCATTTGTTGACGGTCCAAAAGCGTTCTCTTTTGTTTCTGGTCGGTCATTGTTTTCGACTATTGCCTGCAATCAAAATACAAGAATTGATGCAAATGAAAATGGGAAAATGAGAGATGGAGATAGAAAGGAAGATAAAGAGTGACTGGGAGATGGCAGAGAATGAGAGAGAGAGAGAGAGAGAGAGAGAGAGAGAGAGAGAGAGAGGGGGGGGGGGGAGACACGAGAATCGGAGAAAGGGGAGGGGCGGAAGAAGAAAATACATAACATGTATGAAAACAAAGCAGATTATGAATCAGAATGTTTGTTTTGCTCCACTGCTCATTAACGAAAAACCTATGTGATCGATTTGTTTCTTAGGAGACAATTGCTTCAAAGTACATACCTACTGACTACTCTAAGTAGAAGCGAGCTAGATGTTATCATGCCATGCCATAACACAGCAAACATGGCAATTATCGTTATGGGAATGCTATGGCGGGCTTGAAGCGACCGGTATACCAATATAATAGCGAGAAGCGTTTAACCTTTATGCGATTACTTCATAGCTAGAACATTCCGCGAACTATTTAGAATACGGTATTTGAAGTTTATTGGGATGTACCGAATGTGACATTTCTGGAGATACATTTTCATTATCATTATTCGACTCCACTCAGACTGTTGCCTAAACCCTCTCTGAGTATCCAAAGCGATTGTATGACGACGCTTCTGTGAAAATTGCTCCGCAGTCAATAATGTTCACCTAATATTCGACTTTCTAACTTAAAGGGGAAGTCCACCCTGAAATTAAGTTAGTTTTAATAGGAGTAGAAAAATAAGAGAAACAAGTCAGTGAAAGTTTGAGCAAATTCCGATTAAAAATAAGGAAGTTAGGATTTTTGAAGTTGTGATCAATCAAACACAAATTGGCAACTCTATGACGTATCATGCGAGCTCAACTTCCATTTGCTCAGTACTAAAAAAATCTAAAATTTTCATTTTCCCTCAAGAAAAATTTCAACCATACATGCACCCTAAATATAATAATTGCAAATATGTTTCTATACTCCCCTGCAAGGAACAAATATATATTCCGTCATCAATAACGAAGAAAACATGATTTTATGGAATATTATGCACAAAGCAAATGAAGGAGAGCTCGTATGATAAGTCACAGAGTTGCCAATTTGTATTTGATTGATCACAACT